AATGTGAAAACTGTCATGAAATCAGTCCTATCTAATTGAAAAGATCCTTGCAGGGGTTATAAGTACTCTCTTAATAGCCAGTGAGAATTCTCAGGAACAGTAGTACAGCTTTAAATCAGACCTTGGCTATCTGGACCAAGTTTTTTTTCTGCCAGACAAATACTTAAGGAATACTTGTTATTCAATGAGGTTGGACTAGATAGCCCATGCACCACTGGGGTGTTTCCCCTTTGTTTTCTTGGTGTATGGGGGTGCGTGGGTTGGGAAGGGTGTCTGAAGAGTGTATAATAAATGCTGTATGCAAGCCAGGGATGATGATGTGGGGGGGGGGTAGCGGAAGCGCAGGTCAGGAAGGCTGTGAGGGTATCCAAACTGCATGGGTTGGGGAAAGTGCAGAAGGGCTGCAAAAGGTGTGGGTCAGGGAAGGTGCGAGGTGACGCAAGTCAGGATGCATGAGGTACAGAGGTGCTGCATGGATTGAGGGAGGCACACAGACAGCAAGCTCAGGTTGGGGGAACATGGGCGCCATGGACCGAGGAAAAGTGTATGGGGTTCCTTTCTCCCTGTTCCTCCCTACTTTCCTTCCCTGCAGATAGGTAAATGGCGGTTACTGGAAGTGGAGAGGAATGAGGGATTGCAAGACTGGCTGGGAGTCACGAAACATTGAAAATAAAAGATCATGTGATAGCAGCAGCCAGTAGCATTGATGCAGCTACAACTTTCCCAAATTTCATTTCCTCATGAGTCATGAGTCCTGGATTTTGTTCACATTCTGTAAGTTATCCTATTTGAGGTATCTTGCTTCAAAAACTTGCCCTATGAAGCACCCTTTTGCCTTTTTATAGGTTATGATGAGAGTTTTAGAAGTAGATGGATATTGGGGAAAAGCTGGTTGTACAGGAGTTCAGTGTGAAGTGGATGAGCTGAACTTCATAGATACAGCGTATGCCAATGATATTTTCATAGAGGAATCAGAATAGGAACTATCAGCTATAAGCAACAGTAGAAAGATGCACAAAAAAGACCAGTGTGTCAGTTGATGGCACATAGTTTAATCTTGCTCTTAGAGATGAACCAACTGAACAAGTGCATGAATTCAAATACTAGACTGTTCAATTTCTGTAACAATTACTTTCACAACCACTAACGTACTTGAACAAATTGTTACGCTCAAATGGCTTTCACCAGCTTATTATTAATGCTGCTTCTGGAATATATTAGAAAACAATTCAAGTATTCAATAGCCACTTTTCTATGGAATGGAAATGTGGATAGTTTGCTTAGTACCTATGAAACCTAAAAGTATTTCAGATATTTGAGGACAATCCTGGGCAAAGTTGCATGATCAATGGTGGAAGCAAGACATATGATAGATAAGGAATCAACAGCTCATAGATGAGAATCATTACTTCATTGATTTGGGAATGGATTTATCATGGGTCCTTGGGTGATTGCTGAAAAAACAACAGTTGCTTGGTTGGAAGCTAACCAAAAAAAAGCCCCCCCCCCCTAATATTCCTGAATCACCCAGAGACTTGAAGCAAAGCAGTTATGTTCTAATGTCACAGGACTTGCAACCTCTGCTCAAGGCAGAAAACGTTGGAAGGGACTTATTAGCCATGGCCAACACAGTTCCACCAGTAATATCCTACAATTTATGAGGATGTCTTATCTGCACTAGAACACATGAATGTAATTTCAGAATGCATAACTTCTAGGAGACAGATCGTTTTTAGTGTCATTATTTGAAAATGAATAGATGCTGAATTCTTTTCTATCCATGTTCATCTTTGCTAACCAATCTAAATGCTCATCTGAGCAGAAAACTAATGTATAAATTAAATATCTACCCCCTAAATCAGGAGTGCCCCACTGGGGGTGCGAAATTATATTCCAGGAGGTGCAAAAACTTGGGTTTAGAAGTTTCAAAATTATAGTGTATATGCATAATTCAATATTTCAAACTTTTGTAAGGGGTGCGAGAATATATCAGAAGCGTTCTAGGGGTACGGGGTATAGAAAAGGTTGGGAGCTGCTGCCCTAAATACTACTCAGCCATAATGAGCTAGGATAGTATATACCACAGGTCGGCAACCTGCGGCTCCGGAGCCGCATGCGGCTCTTTGAGCCTTCCCCTGTGGCTCCCAGCCTCCTCTGCCTTTGCAGAGAGAGACAGACAGAAAGAGGCAATTGCGCGTCCCTGCTTCTCTCTCTGTGTGTGTGTTTTGTGTGTGTGTGTAAAAGAGAGTGCACTCACAGTGTTCTCCGAGGAGCTGAAAAGCTTACTGGGCGGAGCTCCTCCCTTTGCTGCGTCTCTGCAGGAAGCAGGAAGGGCAGGAGAGAGCTAGCTAGCTCAGCTAGGCTGACTCAGGAATTCTGGGAGTTGAAGTCCATGAGTCATAAAAGAGCCGAGGTTGCCTACCCCTGATCTTGTTGGACAACAGCCTGAAGCTTGTCAGGTGAGCAGCAGATAGGAGAGGGGGGGGAGAAAGAGAGAGAGAGAGAGAGAGAGAGAAAGAGAGTGGGGGAAGAGGAGTGGCAGACCAAGGGCAGATAGAGAGGGAGAGAGAGAGAGAGACCCTTTTGACATCTAAAATGAAGATAACACTGCATATATCCTTTTTTTTACCTTTGTGTGTATGTAATTTTATTCTCTTAAAGCATTCTCTCGGTGATCATTGTTTTAATAGTATGGATATTCCCAAGAGTCATATTTTTACTTTTATTTTTAACGTGTGTGTGTGTGTGTATGTGTGTGTGTGTGTGTATACACACACACACATACACAAACACTCTCTCTCTCTCTCTCACACACACACACACACACACCTATAATAAAGATAAAAAAGGATATATGCAGTGTTATCTTCATTTTAGATATCAAAAGGGTTTTGCGGCTCCCGGTGTTTTGTTTTTGGTGGGAAACGGGTTCAAGTGGCTCTTTGAGTGTTTTGGGTTGCCTACCCCTGGTATATACCATCCCAAATGTCTTATAGCATTCTGCAACTAGGGTTTCAATCACTTTGCTATAAAAAGGGGAGATAGAAATCAAATAAATGTGGTCTATAATTACATGTATAGGAACACAAAATAGTAGCTATTTGAATAAATTACTGCATTTTTCAGAGAAGAGGGAATTATTTTCTCACCCAATACAATGTTCAATATGCTCATCTATTTTTCTAAGTTGATTATGGCTTATGTTAACTGACCTCAGTGGATAACGGTCTGAATGTATACAGATCTGGTTTCTATGTGGTTGGGTTCATACAATCACATTAATCCACAATATGGATGGCATTTTGACTAAGTAACTAATTCATTAAAATAATTAAAATGAATTAAAATTGATTAGTTCAGTAAAATACATTTACTGCATGTTTTTTAGGGTTTAGTCTTTAGGGTCCTCACAAACAAATCAAATTTATTTGATCTAACTTGTGAGAGTACAAAGAAGATTGAATTCATTGCCATTACTTCTACCTTATAGGTCTGGGAATGAATCCAAATCTTCCAGTATTGCTATGTAAAGGTCAGAGAACTGCAGCTGTGTAAGAAGAGTTAGATTTACTGGAATATATAATTCTTTATCTTTTTTTAGTATTGCAGTACTACAAATGTTTAAGAACTTAAGACATTAGCTATCCCACTAAATATTATGTCATCTATAAATCTGTTAGTATCTTCCTTTATTCAAAATAATAAAATATTAAAAATCAGTCATCCCATTCAATTCCTCTCCAATTTGGTGAATAATGACTGATGAACACTTTTTGAGTATGATTTTTGAGCCAACCTTGTATCTACAATACCATAGATGCTATCCCAGTTTGCAATATAGACAGAAGTCCTTGTCTCAGCTTTACAAACTAGGACTATTTCTAAGGATGCAGTTTCTCCCTTATTTTTAAAATTAATATAATGCTTATGTGTTATGGGGACCGGTAAAATAAAATTTCTATTTGTCTTGGTATTTAATATTGCTAATTATAATGTATTAAAATAAAGTTGATAAGCAGAGTAGATTCAATGATAAATTGGTTTTCACTTTTTCCTAAAGCCAGTCTATTCTAACCTTTGAAAGGTTACGTTCCTAACAATATATATGAATATGATGGAAAGTTACATATAAAATTCAATCCTTTGATTTATTAAATAACTGATACAGGAAGCTATTAGATAAAAAAATAATTTTAAATGTATTCATACCACACTTTTCAGCTTTCTTTTTATGTATGAAATTTTTATAAAGCTACTGTTTTGACAGTATTTATTATACAGCAATGTTTTTAATAAGATAAACTTCTCTCTTGTGCTGTAGGACATAGCTGAAACCATGAGTCTGCAGCTTCAGTTAAATATGCTGATGCCCTTAATATCTTCCAGTGTATTTGAATTTATCTGAAGAGTCAGTTCCTGCATCAGTTTAGAAACAGAATCTTCTACATCTCCTGCTGCAGCACATTCCATTGTTTCTTCTGCTGTAGTGCCCAGCTGTTCAAAAGGCTTCATAATTGTCACTCCATAACCATTGTTATTGTAAATATGGTTGTTTTTCATCTTTAGTTTAGGAGCAGGGAGGACCTGTTAAGGAATTAACATTTTAATAATTTCAATCTTTTTTCAACTTAGTTGCCTATTTAAACATGGGCATCATTTCAAATTTCCCAGTCTTTCTCTGTCACTGATATTTGATGCAGAGTACAACTGAGTTCACAAGCTGGGTTTAATTGTGATGTATCTTGGAGGGGGAGGGGCTTTTAGTTTAGCATGTAGTATGAGTCCTGCCAATTGCAAAAAGTAGACCATTGCATATGGTTTAGGACAAGAGAGAACTGCATTTACATGGAGGGAAGTAGGGTACCCCAAGGTTCTGTTTGGGGCCCAGTACTCAATATTTTCATAAACAATTTAGATGAGGGAATAGGAGGACTCATCAAATCTGCAGATGAAACCAAGCTGGGGAGGAGAATAGCCAACACTTTAGAAGATAGATTCAAGATCTAAAAAGATCTTGATAGACTTGAAACTGGACTCTATCCAACAAAATGCAATTCAGTAGTGAGAAAATAAGATTTTACACTTAGGCAAGAAAAGCCAAATGCACAGGTGTGGGATAAGTATGGCTTAACAGCAGTAACTGGGAGGGACCTTAAGAGTCCTAGTGCAGGGCTTTTCAACCAGTGGTATGTGTACAACAGGTTGAACAGCAGTGTAAAAAAAGTGTAAAAGTGGATGAGGTGAAGTGGCGGCAACGCCGCACAGGCTTGTGAAAGTCAGCTGGAGCTATGCAAGGCATTGCCTGGGTCCTATGGTGAAACCAGGATCAACACGTGTAGCTCCAGCTGATTGGGAGTAACAGGCAGCCTCACAGTCTTCAGGCAGAGATTCAGCTGGAACTGCGCGAGGTGTTGCCTGGGTCCTGTGGAGAGCTCAGGATCAGCACATGCAGCTTCAGTTGATTGGCCTTGGGGGTGGCAGGCAGCCTCATTCAGTCTTCGGGTGGAGATTCAGCTGGAGCTGCGCGAGATGTTGCCTGGATCCTGCTGAGAGCCCAGGATCAGCACATACAGCTCCAGCTGATTGGCGGCCGCTTTAGGGGTGGCAGGCAACCTCACACAGTCTTTGGGTGGAGATTCAGCTGGAGCTGCGCAAGGAATTGCCTGGGTCCTGCTGAGGGGAAGAGAAGATATAAAAGGAGGGAAGAGGATATAAAAGGAGGGAGAGAAGAGAGGATATAAAAAGGGGGAGAGAAAATATATAAAAGAGGGAAAGAAGAGAGGATATAAAAGGGGGAGAGAAGAGAAGCCTTCAGAAGTTGCAGGTGCTCCATCATTGGAGGTTATTAGGAAGACACTGGACAGCCATTTGTCTGGAATATTATATGGTCTGCCTGAGTGAGGCGGTTGGACTAGAAGACCTCTAAGGTCCCTTCCAACTCTGTTCTATTTTTTTGTCAACTAGGAGGGTACTAAGGAAGAAAATAGGTACATTAAACAAGCTACCTCATACAAGTCTAAAAATATTGCTTTATTTGTTTTTTACATTAGCAATGTGCCTGAGGCAGAAAGATCAACCATTTGAAAAACCCTCATTATTGAAATTTGTAAATGAAGTTTAGCAAATTAAAAGTTTAAACAAATGGCTGATGCTACTATGTGAGCACCAGTTTATGAATGACAATCCACTGTCAGCAATGATTTACCTTTATGTTAATTCCACCAAGACTACCCTGTAAAGAGTCACTCGTTCTGAAGTTATTGCAATGGTGAATTTTGCTATTCTCCAAGGTAGCCACACTTCCTGGATATAACTCAACACCAGCTCCCTGGGTATAAAAACAAATTTTAATGTAGCAGTGATGAATAAAAATTCTAGTAGTTCATTGCAAAGGAAAATGAGATCTGGTTAGTCAGAAGAAAACGGAGAAAAACGTTTCCTTTAATAAAACCCAAAATAGTCATGAACAAAAACAAAAGGAAATCAAAATAAGGTTTTTCTTCTTAAAGATGCAGTAGCAAAATGTAACTAAATAAATCATAGACATAAAATGTCCATAACTCATGCTCTTTATCTTTCCTTATATATATAGTTTGCCAAATACCTTTTTGAGAGCTGGCTGAATCATCCTATCATAATTACAAGCCACAATGACTTAAGTTCTCCCAACGCGATATAAAAGAACTCCTTTTCTATTACCTTTAATACCCTTTAAGGTTTAAACCCAGCTGATGAAAATCAGTAGCACTTTCCAATCATGATGGGGTAAGCTACATAATCCCTAATGAGTTTTAGGTTACTTAAAAAGCAAATAAAACCTTCAACAGCCCCCCAAGTGTCTTATCTGCTGTCACGTGTGCTGTGATTACAACTACTTTGATTATTGCCCCTACTTTTTTCTCCACAAAAATTAAATACCCCCATGGGTCAACTGACCAGTTGGGCCACTTGAAAACCAGCTCACATTTTTGATTAGTTGCAGCATCTTGCAGCTAGTGAGGGAAAAAATTATTTGATCCCCTGCTGATTTTGTACATTTTCCCACTGAAAGAGAAACGATCGATCTATAATTTTAATGGTAGGTTTATTTTAACAGAGACAGAATGACAACAAAAAAATCCAGAAAAACGCATTTCAAAAAAGTTATAAATTGATTTGCATTTTAATGAGTGAAGTAAGTATTTGACCCCCTCGCAAAACATGATTTAGTACTTGGTGGCAAAACCCTTGTTGATAATCAGAGGTCAGACGTTTCTTGTAGTTGGCTACCAGGGATTTTGTAGTTGGCCAAGAGGGATTTTGTCCCACTCCTCTTTGCAGATCCTCTCCAAGTCATTAAGGTTTCAAGGCTGACGTTTGGCAGCTCGAACCTTCAGCTCCCTCCAGATTTTTTTTTTTATTATTTTCTATTATTACATTTGATTAGTGCTTAATAAACATTGTGTTGTCTGGGTTGTTTGTTTCATAATACAAGTTACATTCTTAGTCTCTACCCTTTTTTTCCACAATTGATAAAATAAATTCCATATTTGAAAATATTCTGTATCTCCACAAATTTTCTATGGAATTAAGGTCTGGAGACTGGCTAGGCCACTCCAGGATGTTAATGTGCTTCTTCTTGAGCCACTCCTTTGTTGCCTTGACTGTTTTGGGTCACTGCCATGCAGAAATATCCATCCACGACCCATTTTCAATGCCTGGCAGAGGGAAGGAGGTCCTCACCCAAGAGTTGACAGTACACGGCCCCGTCCATCGTCCCTTTGATGCAGTGAAGTTGTCCTGTCCCCTTAGCAGAAAAACATCCCCAAAGCATAATGTTTGACAGTTCTTGGGGTTATAGGTAGCATTCCTCCTCTTAACACAGAGAGTTGATGGCAAAGAGCTCGATTTTGGTCTCATCTGACCACAACAATTTCACCCAGTTCTCCTCTGAATTGTTCAGATGTTCATTGGCAAACTTCAGACAGGCCTGTACATGTGCTTTCTTCAGCAGGGGGACCTTGTGGGTGCTACAGGATTTCAGTATTTCATGACGTCGTGTGTTGCCAATTGTTTTCTTGGTGACTATGGTCCCAGCTGCCTTGATATCATTGACAAGATCCTCCCGTGCAATTCTGGCCTGATTCCTCACCATTCTCATGATCATTGAAACTCCACGAAGTGAGATCTTGCATGGAGCCTCAGACCGAGGGAGATTGACAGATATTTGGTGTTTCTTCCATTTGCGAATAATCACACCAACTGTGGTCACCTTCTCACCAAGCTGCTTGGCGATAATCTTGTAGGCCATTCCAGCTCTGTGTAGGTCTACAATCTTGTCCCTGACATTCTTGGACAATTCTTTGGTCTTGGCCATGGTGGAGAGTTTGGAATCTGATTGATTGCTTCTGTGGACAGGTGTCTTTTATACAGGTAACAAACTGAGATTAGGAGCATTCCCTTTAAGAGAGTGCTCCTAATCTCAGCTCAGTACCTGTATAAAATACACGTGGGAGCCAGAAATCTTGCTGAGTGATAGGAGATTAAATACTGATTTCACTCATTAAAATGCAAATCAATTTATAACTTTTTTGAAATGTGTTTTTCTGGATTTTTTGTTGTTATTCTGTCTCTCACTGTTAAAATAAATCTACCATTAAAAATATAGACTGATCATTTCTTTGCCAGTAGGCAAATGTACAAAATCAGCAGGATATCAAATAATTTTTTCCCTCACTGTATATGATATGATTTGGAAAACATGGCCACTGGGGAAGCTGGATTCACTTAACAACCATGAATTTATTTAATGACTGCAGTAAAAATTGTTGTAAAATCCAACTTGATTTACAATTGAGAAATTTCTGTCTCAATAGTGTTTGCTAAGTCAAGGACTACCTATAATCTTTAAATATTTAGACTGAAAATGTTTTCAATTTCTATACATTCCCTCTTCTTGGAACCACATTCAATAACAAATCTACAGTAAGGGTTTCCTTGAAGCATCTACTATTTCTACTGCATCAAGAACCAATTTTATGACTCTCATCTCCCTTAACAGGAGTGGATGAAATATAACTGCTAAACGTTTTTTTAATAATCATTTCCAAGATAAGAAAATCTTAAAAAATGACATAAAATGTAAATTCCCTGTGCTGGGGTATTGGCAAAACTTTTATAGAGGGAGAATTTCCACAATTCGATTTTTTGCAGAAATGCCACAGAGCCATTCTCCAAATTACAGCACAAACTTTACCTTGAATAAATTGACCTATCTTTCCTATAGGCTCTAAATGCTCTGCCCAAAAGTATGAATTCAATCACCCCTCAAATAATTAATTTTACTGCCTATTGTTCAAATCTATTTATTGGCAATATTGTGGATAAATGACTTGTTTTTAAAAAGGGATAAAAATGTGTTGCAGCCTAGAGCACAGGTCGGCAACCTGCGGCTCCGGAGCCGCATACGGCTCTTTGAGCCTTCCCCTGTGGCTCCCAGCTTCCTCTGCCTTTGCAGAAAGAGACAGAGACAGAGAGAGGCAATTGCGCCTCTCTCTCTCTCTGTGTGTGTTTGTGTGTGTGTGTGTGTGTGTGTAAAAGAGAGTGCACTCACAGTGTTCTCCGAGGAGCTGAAAAGCTTACTGGGCGGAGCTCCTCCCTTTGCTGCGTCTCAGCAGGAAGCAGGAAGGGCAGGAGAGAGCTAGCTGGCCCAGCTAGGCTGACTCAGGAATTCTGGGAGTTGAAGTCCATGAGTCATAAAAGAGACGAGGTTGCTTACCCCTGAGCTTGTGGACAACAGCTTGAAGCTTGCCAGGTGAGCAGCACATAGGAGGGGGGGAGAAAGAGAGAGAGAGAAAGAGAGAGAGAGAGAGAGGGAGGGGGAGAGAGAGAGAGAGAGAGAGAGAGAAAGAAAGAAAGAAAGAGAAAGAGAGTGGGGGAAGAGGAGTGGCAGACCAAGGGCAGATAGGGAGGGAGGGAGGGAGAGAGAGACACAGAGAGAGAGAGAGACCCTTTTGACATCTAAAATGAAGATAATACTGCATATATCCTTTTTTTACCTTTGTGTGTATGTAATTTTATTCTCTTAAAGCGCACACACACACACACACACACACACATATACACAAACACATACACACACACCCCCCTATAATAAAGGTAAAAAAGGATATATGCAGTGTTATCTTCATTTTAGATATCAAAAGGGTTTTGCGGCTCCCGGTGTTTTGTTTTTGGTGGGAAACGGGTCCAAGTGGCTCTTTGAGTGTTTTGGGTTGCCTACCCCTGGCCTAGAGGAAAAGGAACCCAAAGATACAGAAAAACAAGGGGAAAAAAATGCTTAGTTCATAGCCTTTAAAAGCATAAAGGCTATACCTATAGTTTTTGTTGCCATCTAGTGGTGGGTAAAATATTTAATAATTAAGGATAAAGTGACCAGCGTATTGCATTAGGAAATGCAAGGTCATTCAACAATCAACATTTACATTAAACCAAATCTAGAAAAGAAGTACTAGTTAGGACTGCTTTTGGAACCTGTCTCACACCTCATTAGCTTCATGTTTGTTTGTTTTTGAAAGAATTTGAGAATGGCCAAGATATTTAAAATTTTGGTTGGAAAATAACTGAAATCTCAGGGCTACCAGATTGAGACTGCAAAAATGATGATTACTAAATGGCAGCAAAGAAATGTTTGTGTTGCCTCTTTCCCCCTTCTAATGTGCAGATACTTATTGCTCAGCCTAAGTAAATGTTTTACATTCATGCATATGTGCTGCATCTTGAAAGAGAAAATACCTGTGCTCCAGTAATTTCGCTATTTGTAACTGTCAGCGAAGCCCCGACGAGTACACAAACACCAGTTCCTTCACACTTCAATATACAATTCTCCAAAACTGTGTGTCCAGATTCAACTACAATAATTCCATCAATAGTCCCTTGCTGAAGCAATGTAATATTCATGAATTTGACATTTTTAGCCCTACATACTACAAAACTCTCATTAGCAGGTTCTGAAACTATCACAATTTCCTCTGGTTTTCCAACTCCTGAAGAAAAGAAGAAAATTATATTAAAAAGCAACTTAGTATTTTACTACCTCCAACAGTGAAAGCATAACTGTAATTCTATTTTATTGTTTTCAGAAATGGATATGTTTTACGGTTTTATAGTTTTTATAAGTAAGCTGCCTAGGGTTGCCTCGAGGCAAGATTGGGCAGCAAAGAAACCTAATACATCAAATAGATTGAGATAGATAGATAGATAGATAGATAGATAGATAGATAGATAGATAGATAGATAGATAGAAAGATAGAAAGAAAGAAAGAATACTGTTTCTAAGTTTTTAAAGTTAACATCCTATTTCATAAATATCAAATATGAAGTATATGGTAGTGCTAAAGTGGTACAGTTAAAAAAATTTAATGCAATCCTATGAGAATAGACATATGCAATAGGGAATTCCTTGCCTGGTTTAACAGTCCAGGGTGCACATATGCTGATCAAAATCAGCTGTAATAGCCATGATACTTTATGCTCATTTTTTCCAATTTGAAAAAAGAGAAATTCTGCCTATAATTATTACACATTATTAAATATTAACATAAATTAGTGTTTTATCCTACTTGTTTAAAATACATGAACACATAAACGCTACACCAAATCTTCTCTTTTTACCTTTTTCCTCAACAAACAAATCCTCTCAAGTTAGAGCATACTGGCTTTTTCAAAGTATTAAAAATGAAAATGGAGAAGCTTCTTCCAACTTCTCTTTCTTGGCTTCATTTATAAAAAAATCCTTCCCTTCTACACAAGCAATAGGAAAGAAAATGTTTAAGAGCAGCCAAATGATTAATTTAAATGCTCTTTTGGGAAGTTCTAACATTTGAAAGTATTAGAACATTGCCAGACTCCAAGTGCTGGTATTGGGGAAGTTGAGGTTGAACTTGTAGGATCACAGAATAGTTCCCTCAATGATTTTAGTTATCCAAATGATTTCAGTATATTATATATATATGCAATTACTTTATCCATGCATTAAGAAGCTCTGATTGATTAAAATGAGAAATATTTTCATATTTAAGTAAGTCTCTTAAAAATTTAAAAACAAAGGCAAATTGTTCTATCTAACATTTTCTTTCACCTCAATAAAAAAATACAACATTCTTTCAATTTGACAACTTTAAATGCAAAAAAGGAGAAAGTATACTACTGCCTTTAATAATAATATCTTCAGTTAACATGGACAAGTTTGCTGCTTTATATTCTCCAGGGAAAATAAGCACATTATCACCACTATAACAGCTGTCCAAAGCTATGTTTAGGTTTTCAATCTGTTGAACAACTGTATCAGAGGATAATTCTTTAGCCTAGACATATGAGAAAGAAAAAAACATTTTTAAAACTGTTAATTAACAAAAGCAAAATAATTTAAATACATACATACATACATAATTATACACACACACACATATATACATATATACACATACACACACACACACACACACACACACACACACACACAATTTTCTGCAGATTGACATCTGAGTTATTGTGGCACAATGGTTAAAATGTAGTACTGCAGCCTTGACTCAGTCGAGGGTGACTCAATCTTCCATCATTCTGAAATCGGTAAAATGACCCAGATTGTTGGGGGCAATATGCTGACTCTGTAAACCGCTTAGAGAGGGCTGTAAAGGTCTATGAAGTGGTATATAAGTGCTATTGTTATTGCTATTTACTCTTTTAGAGTCACCTTAATATAAAATTTAGAAGTTTAATACAAAATTCAAATAACGTTTCAATGATTCTTAAGTTTATTTCAGTTCTTTAAGTATTCCTAGGGAACGAATCCCAAGGTATGTAATGAAGCTTAATTTTAAGTACCGGTAGTTATATTATATATTGAGATATTATATTGCAATATAACATAAAAATATTTTCTACAGATTTTTATAAAACATATGCAATTTTTATTTATTAGCAGTTTTAAAATCTAAGTTACTACATTGAACTAGCATTTGCAAATTTTTGCTAAGACAGTTCTTCCCTGCAAAAATTCTCCTGCTAAGGTTTATGAAATATCTATATAATAGCATTAATCCTGTTGTACAGACTTTTGTATAACTGCACCAAGTACATAACTATCATCTTTTTATTATGGCACTGAAAAATACATTCAAACAGAGCAAATATCTTCCTAATGACCAGAAAGAATGGTCTTAATTATACACATTATACAAAAGGCTTCTGCTAATCCATGCAGCATTAAGGAACATCTATCATCCCCTTGAAAATTTCTTACCACTTCTGCCATCACTGTTTTTGCAACAATGTAAGTTACAGTTTTTCCATCATGTCTGTGTCCTTTTCTACGCTTCAGTATTCTTGGGGCCAAAGGTCCATGAGCTCTGAAATTTAAAATGAACTCTTATCACAATTAACTTTATACTAGTGGCTCCCCACCAATGGCATACATACCACAGATTAGACAGTAGAGGCAGAATACAGAATAAGGCTTTAATTAGCTCTTTAAAATAAATATAATAATATAATAATATGATGTCTTAAATATAAATATGCCCCACTTGAGGAAAAAAGGCTTTCTGCTTCCATGATAGTAACCTGAAATTCTTTTATATACAAAAGGCAGAGAAATTCACTTCAGAAAACACATCCCAAATATATGTGTAAAGAAATTAAATTCCTAAGATTTTTACTTTTTGACAGGGCTCACTTATAATTGAAATAATGTATGGATCTCATTAAAAAGTAAGCCAGAAATCCTAACATATTCTCTTTTGAAGAAATAAAATCTGTGTTTTAAATACTCAAAAATTAAACTGTGGCTTAAATAATATTTGAATAATATTTCTGCTATATACTACCTTCTCATGACAAAGCAATGTAATGTTAAAGTATTGGACTAGCACTGGGAAGACCCAGATTCAAATCTACCCAGAGTCACGGAAGCTCACCAATGATTTTGAGCCAGTTACTCTAACCAATTTGAGTTGTCATGGATAAAAGTGAGAGTCCAGGGTACTACGTACATCATACTGGACTGCTAAAAGAAAAGCAAAAAATACTGTGCATTAAATGAATACATTTTAATAAAAATATTCCTGTCTGTACTGCAAAATCTGTAATAGAAACTTTTCTTAGTAAAAAATGTTGATCTATTTTAAGACATGAAAAAATAATGGCCAAAGGAAAACTTACTCTACCAATGCTCCTTGTAAAAACACTTCAATTACAATAGTGCCTTCTTACCAACATTGCTAATAATTTGAAATATGAATACACAAATTTGGCTCAGCATTAGTCAGTTGCATACAATCATAGCTAAAATTATAATACATTGAATCAATCCTCTATCAGCATACATGGGAATCATAAACCACTGAATTCAATGGAATTTATTTTTGAAAAAAAAACATGCCAATAGCATTAAAGAATTAGCAAATTCACAGCTAAGCCATCATGTAATAATAAAAACAAAATTATGTTGCCAGTTTTCAAATAAAAAATTAGATAACACAACAAATAAAATTACCTTAAACGTAAATCTTCCCATATTTTCAACAAGCCACACAGCATTATTAGTTCATAGTATTTTTTCCAACATTCAACAGCTTCTTCTGCTGTGGGCTCCTCTTTGATGTTACTCTGGTATTGAATTAATTCCAAATGCATGCTCTTGTATTTTTCCAAATTTCTTCTAAAGCGATGGGCAATTGGAGTTGGAATAATTCCATTCTGAATATCACACCAACTAAAAAAAAAGAAAAATAGAAATTCAACTTTTGAAAATGCATATAATAAAATCCATTTTTAATTTCTATAACTGCAAATAAGGTGATGACTATAGGCTGGAATGCTGCAATCCCCAGTGTAACCCCGAAGTGTAAGTTTGAACCCCCTGTATATAAGAGGAGCACTGAACAATGGCAACTTGAATATGTGAAGAGGTTGTTCCAGTAGGTCCTGCAGGTTGGGGTAGCAATAGCACTTAGACTTATATACACCTTCACAGTGCTTTACAGCACTAAGCGGTTTACAGAATCAGCATATTGCACCCAAGAATCAGGGTCCTCATTTTACTGACCTTGGAAGGATGGAAGGCTGAGTCAACCTGGTCAGAATCGAACTCCTGGCAGTGAACAATGAGTTAGCCTGCAATACTGTATCCTTACCACTGTGCCATCATGGATGTTTTAATGTTGTCCTCTTAGGTTTTGGATTATTTGTCAGATATAAATTATTGATTCTGTACTTATACATGTATAGGTAGCTTGACTTTGGTATAGTAATATTGTTACATTTTAACCAGATTTATCAGTGTTGGATAATTCTAAGTGTGGTCAGTGACTGAAGTAATAAATAGGCTTAGTAAACAAATAAAAATAAATTGAAGATATATTCACATAGGCTGCTTTACTATGAAAAAAGTTAATCTTTAATGTGGATGTCAAAGAGTATATATGTTATATTGGTAGGGAAATGTTTTAATATGAAAGCTTCTAGCACTACTCCAAGTATGATTGTTAAAATTCTGGCTTAACACTTTATGTCCTGAGTATTAAGCCTATTTTACTTACATTTTAATTCTCTCTTCCATTAATGCAGCATAGGTCTCACTATTTTCATCATCATCCCAATCTCTCCAAAGGAAGTCATAGAAAAATCTAAGTAAAAACCATAGTGATATTACATTTATATTTAATGTTCTATAAAAAGGATGCAGGGAGTGAAAAAGTATTACAAAATATAGAAAGTGGCCTTTGTTGTAATATTTTCTGTTTAAATAGAACAGTATTTATACGCTGACCCCTTTCTGTTAACTTATTATTTATGCTATTGTAAATGGTGCATATTACATTGTTCATTTCACAACTGAATCATCATTTTATAACCAGTTTCCTTTTTTTTTTACAAGTTACTTCAACAAATGTGGATTTCTCTATATGTACAAAAAAGTTTTGTTTTGGGTATTCTTAAATATTCTTAATTTGGGAATCAACATACTGTAGTGCAGGGGTCAACCCCTGGTCTGTGGACCAGTATCGGTCCGCAGCATGCCAGCAACCGATCCGCACAAACAACGAAAGCCCCATCTGCAGGATGCAGGCAACACACAAAACCACACCCCCTCCGGTCCACGGAAAAACCTCTCTCCAAGTAACCAGTCCCTGGTGCCCAAAAGGTTGGGGACCTCTGCTGTAATGTACTTGGACATCAGCAGAATCTTTTAGAGAGTGCCTCATAATATTCTGTTTAATAAAATGGTAAAATAAGATCCACATGAGATTACTGTTAGATGGACATATAGTTGGCAAAATGTCCAAAGCCAAAGAGAGCTCATTAATAGTTCCACTTCAGTTGGAAGGCAAAAACTGAGTGGATTGCTAAAGGGCTCTGTCCTATTCAACTTTATTTTTTATCAACACTTTCAAGAATTTCAGAAGATACTTATAAAGTATACAGATGACATAAAGCTGAAAGGAGCATTAATACTTTAGATCAGAAAGGATTCAAAAAGATTTAAGCAATAGGATTAAATGAACAGGATGGATTTTAATGTAGAATAAAGAGAATGCCATGGAGAAAGGAGATCCTTAATTTCAAAGCAACGAAGAGGTAAATCCAACAATGAAGCAGGTATATACAGTATACACAGACAATACACACACAGAGAGACACCAACTTATATCAGTTTCACAAAGGAATGAGTAAAGCACAATCAGACTTGAGCAACTCTTTTACTATAGCCAATCTTAAAAAAAGCAATCTTAATCTGGAAGTGATTTTTTGGTGTGATTTACATTTTGGAGCTAATAATAACTGAGAGAAATGTGAAGCTCTGCAATTAGAAAGCAGTGCATGTGAAAGGGAGCTGGGTGTCCTAGTAAAACCGCAAGTTAAAAATGTAGTTGCTAAACAGGCAAATGTTACCATGGGCTACAATACTAGGATTACAGAATCCAGATCATGGGAAGGAATTGCTCCACTGTACTCTGCCTTGCTTAGATTTCACTTGCAATACTGAGTATAATTTTATTTATTAAATTTATGTATTACAATTCAAAAAAGAAGTGACTAGTTCTTAGTAGCTATCAATAATACACACAGAAGCAATATCACCATTTAGCAGAATCAAATCATTAAAAATCTTAAGCGCACTGTATTCTAGTAAAGTATTCTTTTTTATTGCTTGTCCATCCATCTCAGTATTGTTTGTAACAAATCTCCAAAATTTCAAAGTGATGCTAGGGCCAACTTTACGTGCTCCATGGTTACTGAATTCTTCCCCATTTTTAGGAGTTGTGAAATAAATGTTCATAATATCTTAATAATATCTTAATAATATCATAATATCTTAATAAAATATTTTAGCTTTATAGTCAACATATTAATTATAAGTACATATTAACATCAAATTAACATCATCTTAATATTGTAAGAAACACATATAAAAAATGTTAAACAAACATTCATAATTAAGTCTGAGAAAAACATACCTCACAACTTCTAAAGTCTTGGCTATATTAAACACTACATTATCCTGTCCCTCAACAGGATATATTTCTAAAAGAGGCACACAATAGTCCATTTCTTCTAATATCTCATCAACTAACTGTTTTGGAATATTTGCAATGTTAGAGGAAAAAGGTTCAGCTATAGATACGGAAACATTGAAATTAGCTGAAGGATTGCTGGGCAGTTTACAAGTAACCTAGAATGTAAAACAGAAATAAAACAATTATAAAATAAAGGTGATGTTAGGACTTCTATATTTCCTAATTCTTTTGATTTTTATAATATAGAAACCCAGTTCACGGCAGTCATATATTTGAAATATATAGTAGTTCTTCTTTCATTATTTTACATCACTGTTAAAGAAATATAAATCTGCCCTGCCCACCTCTCCCATGCATAACTGAAACAGCACGGATACAGAATTTATTGTGGCCTCTTGTCCTGAGTGAAGACAATTCATGTCTGTGGTACACCAGATCACTGTTACAAAGTTTCCCAGGCACCACTTTCACACAAATCTCATTCACATGTATACAGAAATAGTCTACTCAGCATGTAACTGTAGTATGCATCAATCTTTAGAATAGGAGGAATGATTTTTCTAAACTGAAGCATAAGGAGATGAGGAGACTGAAGCATAAGGAGATGAGGAGATTATAACTTTTAAATATCCTCGTATACAGCAATTTGCTATTTTAAAAACTTCTACTATCAATAAATTAATTTGGAGATTGCAAATGGGACCCAGAAAAATCTTCATATCCAATCAACAACTTATCAGAGACAATATTTTTTCTCTGCTGGAAAGAAATATATATATAATGGAAGTACAGCTAGCAGAACAGATGTGAAGCCCCAGAGACCATATACAACTTATAGGTGGAAGGTCTTATGCCTGGAAAAGCTCTACCCATTATACTGACATACAATAACATTTAAACCATTCTATGCACTAATTATTTAAGCCATAAAAACTTTTAAAAAGTGCTATAATCAAAATTCACTGTGTCAAATCCAGCCAATATCTATGGATGGCCTCCATTTAAAAATAGACCATCGTGTCTGGTTGGCAGAAGTTATGCAAGACATTGAGAGTCCTTTTGATGATATAGTTTTATTAGAAAACTTCTAAACAATATTAAAATACATTTAATTACCTCAACAAGCACCCCAATAAAAGGTATGGGAATTTCTTCAGAATTGACAAAAAAAAGTTCTGGGTTGGTTTTCCAAATTCCAAGCCAATTTTCCTTCATCTTCAGTTTTTCTACAAGATACTTACTCACAGCTTCATTGGCATCCTCTGCCTTTTAAATAACAGAAAAATATATATATATATATATATATATATATATATATATATATATATATATATATATATATATATATATATATAATGTCCAAAACAGCACTTTTATTCAATGTTAGATCTGTATTTGTCAGTTGCCTCAAACTGCAAGATGGGCAGAAAATAAAATGTTTAATAACACCATCGGCATCAACAAATTCACCATCAGTCAGTTGCAAAAGACAGCTTATATAAATAGGATGCAAACCCTTCACTAAAGTGCTCTTTTCATAATTCTCTTTTTATTCTTATGGTTTTCTTACCCCAGAATAGCAATAGCACTTAGACTTATATACCGCTTCACGGTGCTTTACAGTCCTCTCTAAGCAGTTTACAGAGTCAGCATATATTGCCCCCAACAATCTGGGTCTTCATTTTACAGACCACGGAAGGCTGAGTCAATCTTGAGCCAGTCAGAATCAAACTGGAGAGTGAGCAGTGAATTAGCCTGCAGTACTTCATTCTAACCACTGTGCCACTACAGCTCTTGAGGTAAATTGTGTAAGACAGGGGTGTCAAACTGCCATCCCACAGGCCGGATGCGTCATGCCAAAACCATGTCCACTCCATTGCTGGCAATGAAAAAAAAATCACGATATGTCACAACACGTCACGTGACATTGTGAGTTTGATACCCCTGGTGTAAGAGCTTAGAGAAGACAGTTGTAGTAATGCATTCAGACATGCCTCAATCAGTGCCATGACAGGTGAATGTTTTTATCATCAGCTGCTGATGCACTGAAACCAATATTTTTGTTTATTGGTCACTGAGTATTGAAAATCAGGACATCAGTGAGTCAGAGCAGAAACACTATTAGTAGGATAAAGACTGGTAGTAGGAGCAAGTCATTTCATGCTACTCTACTCCGGTTTACTGACACCTGAAGGGTGGGTAATCAGCACTTTGGTAATGGAGAAAATCCTGTGGATAAAAGAGTTTAAACAAGTCCATTTTCTATTTAGTATTACTGATTCTATATGCAAAATATAGTGATGACAGAGGAGTGGAATTGAAGAGGGACTGCATCTCTTTTTGAGAAACATGTTCAAAAAGCTTAGGGATGCTTTGGTGCAGAACACTTTTCAACCACCTTATACTGGTTTCTCTGGTATGTTTTATTTGAAAAAAAAAAAACCAGTTTTATCTATAGTGATCCATATTCAGAAAAGGAACATTTTCAAAAAACATCCCTTCCGTACGTTCCTCTTTGGAAGAACACGGGTAGAAATAGGCAAGCATAACTTATACATTTCAATGGATTCCTTTGAAGAAGTACAGAAAGCTCCCACTGTCACACGAGGCCGGGGCAGAGGGAAGGGTTCACCGCTTCCGACCCCACCTTGCAACCCTTCAAGAGGTCGTCGCAATACAGGGCCGCTTTCTCCCGGCCGGTCAGCGCTCCCAGGTAGGAGGGGAATTCCCGCGGCAGCGGCCCAGCTTCCTCCTCCCCTTGGTCTTCCTCCCCGCCGAGACGAAAGAGACGGTGGCCCTTCGCCTTTCGAGGTGGGCTCTCCAATGAGACAGGAGACGTGCCGGCAGCTCCCTTTTCTTCTTCTTCTTCTTCGGGCCCACTTTCCTTCTGTAGTTGGTCCGAAGCGCTCGACGCCATCTCTTCTGCGGCTCGCGCCTTTTCTGGCGCGCGACCTCCACGAGGACGTCACACCGGTCGCTCGACGGGAACTAATTATTGCAGGGCTATCGCGCTTCGAGCCGCGCAACCAATCAGAGGATCGGAAGGCGCGTACCCGTGGTCACACAGGGCCGTTAGTTGTTGTCTTCAAACGCTGACGTGCTCTACCGTCTCCCTCCGCACTCTATCGAAGCGTATTCGCTGCCGAATTCCAATTCTAAAAACAAAGCGTGTATAAAGAAACTGTTGGTGCTTACATAAACAGAGAAATTGAAAAAAATGGAGCAACTGACCAATATTGCTTCAATTTGGAAAACTTTCAAAGGTCCTAACAACTCCTTCCGGGAGCTGACTTACATTTTTTTATAACTGTTAATTTTTTAAACAAGATTAAAACGAACGGTAACTTAAAAGGATTAGAAAAAAAGAAAGAAAAAAAAAGAACAAAGCTAAAACTGCAGAAAGAAAAGAAAGACAAAAATATAAACTCAAATTAATCTGAGTCTTTTTTTCAAATTAAACTCTTAATTTTGCCATCTCACAAGTTCCATTATTTTCACCATTTACTCTTCCGTTATGGGTAATGTCAAATCTTTCCATCATCGCACATATAAAGCCTTGCTGATGTTATCTTATATGAAAACAATGTTCTATGTGTTGTTTCCTAACTCAATCAGTCCCAAAATAAACATCTCTGGATTCAGTATATTAATCTTTAAAATATTGTAAATTAACAAATGCATCTGAATCCATTTTAAAAACATTTTTACAAGTCCACGAAGCATGATAAAAAGTCCTTTCTTGTTCTTATTTTCAGCCTGAATTCGAAATTTTTTTACATTTTAGACATTTTTTTTCTGGTGACAAATACCAATGAGACACGATTTTAAACAAATTCTCTTTTTTCCGCTCTTTTCCATTTATATTTTATAGCCAGATTTTTTAGCCTAAATTATCATACAGAGCCAGTTTGGTGTGGTGGTTAAGGTACCAAACTAGAAAGCAGGAGATGTGATTTCTAGTTCTACTTTAGCCATGGAAGCCAGTCACTTACTCTCAGCCCAACTTCACCTCACAGGGTGGTTGTTATGGCAAAAATAGGAGGACGAAGGTTTATTGGGTATATTCGCCATCCTGAGTTATTTGGAAAAATAAAGATGGGATATTAAAAAAATACATTATTTTAAAAAGATCTTATAAACAGCAAAATCAAATATAGCAGAACATGGCCCTAGATAAAAAATAAAACATCAAACCCAGGCCTGGGGCCAAATTTTCAGGGCTTTCTAGAACTCCAGGAGAGAGGACACCTTCCTAAAGGGATGCTGTTCCAGAGGATGGGAGCTGCAATAGAAAAGGCACACTTTTTTGGTCCCACAAGATGACAATGTTTAATGAAGACCTAGAGGCACTTACTCTGCCAGAATGTACTGGGCAGGCAGAAATGATTGAAGACAAGTCATTTATCAGATATCCATATAGTATAGGATCTGACAGGTATTAACTAGCATCTTGAACTACACTTGGAAACCAACTGTCAACCAACGCCACTCACATAGCAGTGGTGACATATAGGCATACTTAAGGTGACCATGCTACTGCATTTTGGACCAGTTGTATCCTCCATGGGGGTCTTCAAGGGTAGCCCTATATACACCACATTTCAATAATCCAATCATGAGGTGAGCAGGGCACGAGTAACTGTCTGAAGGTTTAATAAATCTGAACAGCTTATGTATTGTGTACGTAAGAAAAATACAAAATGAGTGTTTACATATAAAAATATATGGAAAGTCAAGTGACTTTTTAAAAGTAATACCTTTTTTAAAATATTTCTTACCCTTCTATTATTATGTATACCATCTAAATAACTATGATTATTGAGCAGACTTAAATACAATCAATCAAATGATTTTTTAAAAAGTTTCTGATGCTGAAAATCACTCCCCAACCCCTGGAAAAAAATGAATACATTCAGGTGTAGAGTCCAAGTTACCAGTTCTTAAATGAAGACATTTTTATATTGCATTTTTTTCAAGGAGTACTAAAATACTTTACTTAAAATAGCATTTATATAATTTTATAATATTGTAAAATAAATGAATATGGAGGAATTAGTCATTACCGATAAAAAGCTTTTAGGAAATGATCTATGCAGAGTCTGAATCCTGGCAGGGCAATATTCAATTTTATCTAGTTGTTGGCATTCTATGATATGTCAGTTCATAAAATCTAGGTTGTGACTTGCAAAATCACCTGCTGATGATGAGGAAGGACAAGCAAATTGTTTTTGACATCACACAACTTTATATTTTTTCTTTTTCTTTCATGCATTCTTTCCACAAACCAAAGGGAAATTCCAGGAAAATATTCTGAATAATCTCCAGAAAAATAAGCTTGTTAAATGATTATTTATTTTGCTAAATGTGCTTAAGATCAGGCTACAGGATTAGAGAAATCAGTCTAGATAGCAGTGCAGTATCACACCAGAGAGCCTAGCTATTGGCACTGATATTGGGGCTCCTTGTGTCATCAATACTTCTATTATGCATCTTTATGCAAGATTTCTAATCTTGCTCCATGTGAAAATAATTTCAGAATTTGCTTTGACACTACTTTTTATGGATAACTTTGTTTTGTTTTTTTCTGATAGTAAAACAAACACAGATTTTTTAAAAGATCAAAAATAGAAAAGCAGCCAAGGTTTTTTAGGAAAACAAATGAAGGAATAAATTCCAAAGTGTATTTATTTATTCAATTTATATATCTCAAGCGACTCTGGTGGCAAACAATCATAAAATAAACAGAACGCAATACAAAAATAAAAACACATATGCATACATATATACAGATGTCAACGCAGTAAACATTGGATATTCCCACTTTGACAACTGATGAAAATCGCAGCCATTTTCTCTTTTTGCTTTTAACATGGTTTTTCTATTTAGAAATCAGGTGCAGAACGGGGGGGTTGGGATGAATGCTTGAGCTCAGCTAGCCATAATAATAAACGCTGCTTTGTGGGAACCCAAGGAGGAAAAACGGGCTGAGGAGCTGGGGAGAAAGAGAACGTGATTTATGACTGCTTTTTGGGGGTGGGAATTGCAATTTGTTACTCTGTATCCGGGGGAAGGGAAATTAGTTTTGGGTTCAACTATGTAGTGCTGATATTTTGTTTCCTGAATAAAATGTTCTTTAAGGAAGAATTCTTGCCTTGAAGTTCTTTTGATGGGTTTCATCTATCAAAACCATGACAACATACATATATTAACTGAGAGATATTGCAATCTGTATATATTCACATAATCAAGAAATGGGACCCTTCACACACTTGGGACTCCAGATCCAGGTCAATAACCAGGTCTTCAAGACCTTTCGTAAGGCCAACAGGATAGGGCCCTCCTAACCTCAGGAGGGAAGATATTCTAAAGGAGAGCTGCTATGCACCCCATCCAGGCCCCTACAGCCTCCACACAGTCAGCCCTCTCAAGAGATACAGAAACATGACTAGATGAGCTATTTCTACCATATTGTAAGGCTACATTAACCAGATCTTGCAAGTCAGGAGATACAAACTTCTGTTACCACTTTAAACACTTGATCAGTTAGTGTCCTTTCTAACTTTCTTCCTTTGACCATTAAGCAACTAGGGGCTCCTGCCTCTCTTTTCTGATTGTTTCCTAGCCAGCACCTCTTCCTCAGTTCCCCAAAGTAATCCACACATTCAACTACAGTGTTTCTCATTCTAAATAGGGGCTGCTTCACCTCCTATAAGTAAGAGCTAAGGGAAGGGTAGCATCTTTACTCATTGTCCCTCAAGATCTCTCTCACTTACCATTACATACTACTGTTTATGTTGCCTTGCTTGTCCTCTCATGGACCTTTTGCCACAGATTTTGGCTGCTCTGCAGGTCTCTTCTGACACAGGCAGCCTCATGTGGTGCCTTCTGTTCTTGCTGAAGGTCTTTTTTCCTGAGGAGGAGCTTCCTTTTGCTTGGGCTGTCCTTTGCAGGGAAATCTAAGAAAGGAGAGACAGGTGCTCTCTATATTCTCCTCTCCATTTGTCAATATGTAGATAAGTGCCACTAAACAATCTGGAAGATTCACAGAATAGTCCCATGGAAGCAGAAGAACTTGTGGGAAGTCAGTGTGGATTTGGGAGCTTCAAGAGAAGGGGTGCCATCTGCCCTGTCTCAATGTCCAACCTTGAATCTGAAATGATGCAGAAATGGCTCCTGTTTAACCTTACATGGAGAAGTCCACTCTGAAGCAACTCTAATGTCCCATCCCAAACTTATACATTTACTCACCACACCACTCTGCTTTTTAGAACTCCATATCAACAATAAATTTTACTTATTTTCTCCAAGGAGACTTGTTACTGTCCTCTAGACAGTATGTTGTTGTTTCTGGAGAAGTTTAAACATCAATTCCTCAATCGTTTATGGTCCCAGCCTTCCTTGGTTTTCTCCCCAAACAGGAAAAACAGTTTAAAAATTCCCCAAAACACAGAAGAAGGAATCTAAGGAAAGGAATGGACTAAAGCAGTTTTTCCAGAATCACTTTGATTCAATTGAACGTTTATGGTCCCAATCTTTCTCAGTTTTCTTCCAAAACAGGAAAAACAATTTAAAAATCCCCTACAACAGAGAAGAAGGAATCTAAGGAAAGAAATGGAGTAAAGCATATTTTCCAGAATCAATTTGATTCATTTGAACATACTTCGATATTGTAAAAATATCTCTATGATGGAAAAAAGCCCAAAGAGGAAAATAGTACTTCTGGCTTAATACTGATGTTTTAAGAATGCCATTTCCTGATCAATTGGAAAAAACGATCATCACAGTCTATTAACACCAATAAAGAATGAAAATGTCCAGAGCCAAGCAAGTCTTGTAAAATTCAACTGACATCTTAAAAGGGAAGTTTTCACTCACTGAGGACAGTGTGTAACTGAGAGTTAAACCCAGGAGTAGATGAATGAGTTCACAAATGAGCATTATAGGGTGCTAACAATGATCACCTGGTACAAAATGTTTGCATCCCAGCAAAGCCAAACATCTGATGCCTTTGGATAGTTAGAACCCTAAAATCACAAAAACAGCCTTTCCCCCATTTTGCTGCCCAGGAGGCATGGCTTTTTGGATGTAGACTGCTTCCTAATGTGGAAACTCCATTAAGCTTGGTGCTTGAGCCAGACTGATTGATGCAGTCACAGTCTGACTTTTGGAAGCACATTGTCAGTGGGTGTCCCGGCATCCCTTTCTCTTGGGTCAGCTCGCACCATTATTTCTACTTAGGTGAAGCTACCTTCCTTGTGCCTCTATCACAACATTAAGATAATTCCTTAACATCAGAATTCATTTCTCTCTTTGTCACTATTCTGACTAGTTACGCTTCTCAGATCTTTAGGCAAATGGTGGTCTAAATTTGCCAATGTGAATTTAAGGCAAAGAATTTTTTATTTTTTTTATTGAAAATTTTTAAAGTTTTACAATAAAATAATCCCCCTCTCCCACCCATCATCCTCCCCCCTTCTTCCCAGAGCTGAATACAGGGTTAATAAAAACTAAAAAAAAACCTTACAACTT